AGGGGAGTGTTTAGGAAGAGACGGTAGAGCGGGCAGGCAGATATCGGGCCCCGCGGGGGGCTCATAATTGCCGACCCTGAAGATCGGTCGACCCCATGGGGCCCTCCTCTGTTTGTTTTATTCCCTAGTTATACAAACGCGAGATCTACGACCGATATATGATAATCGTCCTTCTAGTTCTTCCAGTTCGTTTCTCTCTCCCTCTTTCTCTTTCTCTCGACTACTTTTCGTATTTTTTATCTCAGTTTTATCTCTGTTTTTTTTTTAATTGTGTAAGCTTCACGAATATAGCATGCCTTATAAACACTGATAGACAGGGACACGTCCGAACTAATTCTAACCAGAATCTACCTCCACCATTGGTGCTGTAGAAGCTTTCGCCACGTCTCATCATTTACGACGCACATTTATTCAAATTCTACGACGGCCGAAATGATTGATACTCTTCGTTACGAGCGGCTACCTCAGGCTCTCGCGTTCGTCAGTTTAAGAAAGAGGAGCATAAAATATTATCTCAAATATTTAATATATAAATAATGTGCATCGCTATTACCACATGCATTTTTAAACTGTAGATACAGTGTTAATACACTTTGATAAAGATCCATCCGCGATAGATGATAGAAAACATTGGAAGAACAGATAAAAATAAAGAAAAAAGAAAATAATCTACATAATTTTAAAATAATTTAAATAAATGCATTGCAGAAATTGTATTCTTTTGTATCGATTCTTTATCAATCTTATATTAATTTAAAAGTATTATTTTCTTTAACATAGTATTTTATTTTGTAAAACGTTAATGTAAAAACTTGACTTTAGCTCCTTCTTGGTTAACTTTTTAGCTTTTCATTAAATAAACAATCTTATCTTAAGACAAGCAGCGACTACATTTCAAAAAGATAGCACCGCAAATATATCAAGTTGCCCCAATTCCATTTTAATGAAGAAAAAACAAGGTAAAGCAATTAATTACCGTAGACTACATAAATAACGCGCGTCGTACAAAAACATACATTAAATAATGTGTCTGTATGTGTATTTATCGTATATTTTTGTAAATATTTTTTAATTATATTACTTACCTCACTGTCGATTTTCTTGAACTCCGGATCGTCCTCGTCCACCTCGAAATACAGCTCTGTAGATGTAACGGAAATGATGCCGGGCGCCACGATACCGGGTGCGATTAATCTGCCTTTCGTGCTGATGTTCACCGGACCTGTGATAAAACATGAGCAGTCAAATTGATGCATGTGAATAACAATACAGTAAAAAATATACTGCCTGCATGCGTGTGTGTAACTATTTTTATTTAATTATAAAAATATGGATATAAAAATCCCTTTTTTTTTCTTAACTCATGCATCTTGCAACTTATCAGTAACATGCTATTTTCGCAATATATGGCGCATAGAAATTGGAAATTAAAGGCAGAAATTAAAATAACAAATAACAATTGACGACCGATATTTAAATAACGAATTCAACAAAAAAAGCAAAATAAAACCGGTTTGCCTGGCCTGTGACATGCCATTAAAATGTCGCTCTTCGTTTATCAGAAACGGTACGTTGACCAACCTGTCAAGTCGTTGTCGAGATCCCTGTCGTCCGACAGCAATTCACTGTCGTCTAAAAGATCCGCCGACTGCAATTGCTGTTGGTGTGCACGCGAGGCTGCGAGATGCGCGTGAAATTCTTCACGCGCTTGAAGTATCGCATCCTCGGGTGCACCGTGTTCTAGAGCCGCCTTGAGAGTAGCCTCGGGGTGGCTCGAGCCTAGTGGATTGTGCACGAAACGCTTGCGTCTACGTGCATCATCCTCCCAAGCATCCAGCTTCCAATACTCGGCTAATCTATGAACAGTAAAATATGCAACGTGTAGAAAACGATTGTATAATTAAGAAATAACTTAAAGAGTAATGATTATGTTTTTATTTACTTTGCAGCCATTGGATCCATGTATCCCCATGCGCCGTGCTTATTGGACAAGATATTACGAACTTTCTCTAACAATCTGCTAGCGATTACATTATCGCGCCTTCGTGCTGCGGTAATCAAATGATCGCACATACGTTCTTCCTCTCGACGGTCCAGTAACGTTTGAGCGCATTGTGACTAAAACCACAAAAAACCTGTTATTAACTTTCTTACATAATTAATCAAGTATATATGGAAAAGGATTTTGCATATACGGTACTAGAAAACTCGCGCGCGAACCTTCAGGCAACAAAAACTGATTGGATCTATTTACAGTGAAATAAAATCGCGAGAGAAGAAATGCAGTACCTCAAAGTCAGCATGTTTCAGAACGTCATCTGCTCTCATCCTGTTTAAAATAAACTCTGCCTCGTTTGCGACTCTTACTATGTGATCCTTCATAGCGTGAGATAGCAATCTGTGTAAACGTAAGGAAGCATTTTCATGAAGGGAAACGAGAAGAGTTTGATTTTGTTTTGTTTGCACGCGTTCTAGCGGTAATAAACGTCTTACCTTCCCTCGTTAATGAGCTCGATGAAAGCAAGACCCGCGTGCTTCTGCAAAGAGTTTTGCCATTCCTGAGAGCAGAGAAGCATAACCAATTCCACGACGGAGTTGCTGTTTTTAAATGTAGTCAAACCTGGCAAATTAGAAATAGGGGATCTTTAAATGAATGAACGATAAATCGTAGGTAAATAACAATGAACGACACAGTGCAAGAATGACGGACGGAAAAAAAATGGACAATGTCGTGATTTACAAAAAGACTGTCGGGTGCATCGAGTGTTGTTAAAAATAAAATGCATTGATACGTTGTAAAACTATCAAACGCCACGTTTCTTGAATATAAAACCTGCGAGAGTCATCGCGGCTTTCTACATGTTGAATACTAATGGTGAGCGATAACTCGGAATACGCAGGCCATCTTCCTAAAGTGAAATCATAAAGTGACTAATTTGAATACTCGGTGTGAGATGGCAGAAATGCTTAAACCATAAAAGTGACGAAAGTTTCGCCATATACACACATCTGTGTGAGCGGTCTCTAAATTTTTATTTATCTCGCAAGCATATTTAAATGTACAATTTTAAATATTTTATATGGCAATATAGTTGAATTCTTACCTTTATGATCTTTTTATCTATTAATGAGCACATAATACATCGATTACGAAAGCTTTTCTATATTTTTGTAAACATTTTTTTAAAGACACGCGCGTTTATGATTCAAATAATTTTTTCAGGATACGAAATGTGACGTGTACAGCTCTTTCAGAAGCGATAATAATTATATTAACTAATCAACAAAAATGTAAGAGATAAGAAAAAAGTATATTGTAAGCTATGCTATAAGAAAATAAATAATAAATAAAAAGGAATAATAATTTTATTTAACGCGTCAGAAAATATTGTATCTATATAAGTCTGGCTGAGATTTAATTTCCTAATTCTTTATGATTCTTTTTTTATCCGTGGGCGTGATATATATTGGCATCGCTTAGAAAACAGACCATGTTACGACTGTTCCCCGTATAATAAAATCTAACATAAAATAGGTTCCTTTTATTTATCGGGTTTCAGAGATTCTATATTGTATACGCATAAAATGCAGAACGTGTTTTCTTTAGATTTGATTTTACAAACGTGTAATAATGTTCCTGTTATATTATTATGATGCAATTTATAAAAGCTGTTTCAGAATCACCGAATTTTAAGATTTTTTTTTTTTTGGCTTTCACGCTTGGATCGAGAGCGCGCGGCATTAGCATACAATTAAATCGGGAACATGCAGGCGCTCTCGCAAACGAATGCACCGCGGGGGATTCTGCATCGTGATTCGACGCACGTAACCGACAACCGGCGGCCATCAATGTCTCCCCGTGGCTGTCATCCGTGAAGCTTGTTTTTCTTCCTCGCGCAAACCTCCGCCTATCGTCATTCTGCCGTGTTTATGCCGTCTATTAATAGATAGAAATCGCAGCGCGGGATCGGTCCCCGATTTTTAAATTTTTTTTTTTTTTTTTTTTTTTTACTCGGAGTAGAAATGTTTCCTTAACTGTTTCATATGCAACATGCAGACACTGAACATATAGAAAAATGACCGCACGTTCGACATACCCTTGCAGCTCGTACCTTTTCCTTCCATTAATAATTCTTGACCATGGGAGCCAACGAGTGTTTTGGACAGGAAGGGGGCAAAATCCACCATGATCTCTCGTAGGAGAGGACAAACCGAACCCAGGGCCATTTCCAGCTTTTGCGTGAGCGAAGCCTCGCGGGAAGGTGTCGGTACCGGTAAATGGTCGACCAGACCCTTGATCGGCAATTCTTCGGCTCTCGGGGATGCTCCGGTTACTACCAGTCGATCGGGAACTCGAACCACCGAGATTTCCGCCGACGGTTTTTCCCCCCGTTCCGCGTTGCCGAGCATTTCTTGTTCTAGAACGTTGCCCTCGCTGTCTTGCATGTCACCTATGAATTTCGCAATACGTATGTTTTGGCTTTTATATAAGAAATTAATAACGAACTAACTAATATAATAAATTCGCTTATTAATCACAAGTGATAACGAAACAGTTGATTCGACTCTTACCACGCGAATGGGCGATATTGTGGATATTTCGCGGATCTTCTCTTGGATTCGTAATCGGCATCGTATCGCCGTCTTCGTTAAGGTTTACGTCTGTCCAAGCTTCTTCGGACGAATTGTGCTTATTTTCGTTATCGGTAGTAATTTCAGAAGGACTCGCGTCCGCGGTAATATTGCTGCGATGTACTGTCTCCTCGCTGGAATCGTTGCTCTAGGAAAAAGTTGATCAAAACAAAGAGAAACATGAAACACCGAAGTTTCTACACCAACTTTGATTACACCGACCATAAACCGTTAGAAGAATATTAGAGAATTTTAAATAGAAAGCATCAATTGAGAAATATGTGAGATAGATTTACAATAAATTATTTTTTGCTAATCTGAATATATGATAGCATTCAAAATTTTTTTATGTATCGCGCCGTTGAATTTTATTGGAGTTCAAAGAACTCTTTAAATTTTAATTATTGCGTTGTAAAACTATTCAGATATATTTTCAAACCTATATATGTATAGGAGAAAATACTAATATCACTACGATATTAAAAATTTTTTCTAACGAAAACCTAGCGCTATATACTTTTATATAGAAACGTTTTAAAAGATAATTTCATACCCAATCATACTTTACAATTATAATAAACTCTCGCGTGCCATGTACTTACTTCATTACATGCAATTAGTAGTATATATCATTACTACGCAATCAACTAATGTATCATAAAAAAAAAGAACCAAGCCTATTATTCATATATGTAAGCTTCAATAGCAAAATTAATAATCCTACGTAGATTAAGACCAAATGGTTGTACACGTGTAAGAGCCGCTACATATTACATTATGATAACATTACGTAAGCATCAAAAAAGATGTAAATCAAATCAAGTGTATCGCTCTCTCTTTCTTACACCCGTCAAATGGGCATTGTTGCGTATTTCTCGCATTCTTTTACAATGTAAGATTACAATTTTTTTAAGAAAATTAAAAATATATTTCTTTTTAATTGCTTCCAAAATACGGCCGATCATGTGGCGATTTAATTCGAGAAACGAATTCCCGTCTCCGGATCTGTACTCAAATCAAATTTTACCTGCAGATTTCGTGGCAGTGGTTCGGACCTTGTAGAAGTGCCAAGCGTTGGTTCTGATGAGGTGTAATCCTCGAGAATAGTCCGCGGCCGAGGTACACCACTGTGACCTCCCTTCAGAACCAGTAGTTAGTACGCATAGCAATGCAAGCAGAGGAAGTTAACAATGAGAGAAATTCGAGAGTCAAAGTATCGCATGCTCGATAGGATTACAGATAAATACGTGATACGAACGTTTCGGGTGCAAATATGTATGTGCCCGAAATTCGCGGTTTGATAAATTTGCTCAAATCTCAAAGTTTATAATAAGATACATATTACGTGCGAGAGAGATAGTTCGTAATTAATAGAACGGATGTTACGTTGGGACTACGTAGATGCAAGACACCAATTGATAAGTGAACATTACATGCTGGATGTTGCAAGAAATTTTCTACGATAGATCTCGAAAAATCTAGATCTCTATTAATCTCTCTAACAAATCAATTAATAATTAATATTTGTATCAGGATTAATTCATAGGAAATTACATTTAAGACTTCAATGATTAAGAATGGTTCAGAATCTAATGGTTGACAAATAATAAAGAAAATTATATAATTGCAAAATTGTGCTAATGTAAAATTAACATTCAATAGTAAAAGAATGTCTATTAATTTACCTTATCAAATTTTAATTTGTGTAAATTTAATGTAATTATCTTTGAGCTGATTCATTGTAATTGCATAATATATATCAAATAATTTTACGGAATAAAAATTCCGTAACTCATTATCGCGTGACAAATAATACATGTGATAAAATAATGCAAAGCATTGTGCGATGGCACAAATATCTGATTATTACTGCGGCGAATATCCCGTAAAATCGTACGTAATAAAAAAGTGCTAATAATCTCGCTGCTATCAATATTACTTATATTAACTATCAAAACTATTAAAGAAAAAGATACTTAGAACAGTATTAAAAGAAACGGTGTTCAATTTAACGTTATAGAAAGACCCGCACTCGCTACTCAGAGCTTTGTAAAGATATTGAAATATCTGGTCTACGTTCTCGATCTATCGAAATGCATGCAGTCTCAAGTAAAATCATTAGTCATGACCTCGTAGAGTCGAATACTGCTTTATATCAATTAGTTTATGCTGTCACTATATTGAATTGAATTCCATACGTGACGGAATTGACAAGACTTTTACCTGAGATTTTCGGTTCTATAATTCTCGTTGTACACTTCTTTCGAATTTGTTCGGTAGAGGACAAACTGTCTGTCGCATTTTTTTCAGATCGTATCGAAATTTTGGATAACATTGCAAGTTTCTCGCGATGTTAACTTACCTTGGTCGATGGCGGGCCTGACGATGTAACGTCGTGATCGGCCAGAATCGAAGAATTATTTTCGTCGACGATGATAACTTCGTATTCCCCGTCATCTTGAGAACCTGATTGACTCATTATACCTCCGCTACCTGAAAACACGAGAATAAGATGTGATATTAAAAATCGAAAAATATAAGTGGCTTTTCTTGTTTACAAAACCAATTGATATTCATAAACATGCATTCAACAATTTCAACAGAGTATAATATTTTTTCTGTATATTTTGTTTGTAAAATAACATTATCTTGCCTAGAATTTGCAATTTGTTAATGTAAAAAAATGTACACAAGAATTGTAAAAGACTGCATTATTTATGTACAATAAACAACAAAAAACAAAATATTTTTTACATTTTTGATTGCATAAATGTTACATAGATACAAAGATATAGTTGCGCAAAATTATTTAAAAATTAAATCATAAAACCAATATACATATATAAAAACATTCCGATTCTTTAATCGATTTGAAAATAAAGAACACAAGAGCTTTAATATTGTATTTAATGTATTCTTAATAGAGTAATGTGCAGAGTATCTGCTTGTGTTAGAAATTATTTATCTTCATTTTCAATATATAGCCAGTGTTCCTTAAATTTTGAATTATATCTATCGAAAAACATATAAGACATAACAAGAAATATAATTACAGATTAAATAACTGTACAAAAGTAAAATTTGTTTTTGACATACATATATAAAAGGAACTATCCACTACAACAAATTATTTTTTGAATAACTGCATATTTTTTTATTTGTATCATTAATTACTCATTAATTTGTAGAAAATAATATCTTTTTATGTATTCATGCGTTTTTATTAATAATAAATAAATAAATAATAAACACAAATCTTTCACAATAAAAATGCATATTTAAAGTACATGCTATAAGACATTTATAAAATTCTTTCTTTTTCACAACAATATATGCTAATAGTTCAAGATACTGCTTGTGCTAACATGCAGTGCATATCTCTCAAACTAAATAATATAAATAAATATCTTTAGTGTGTTTTAATAACAATATAATAAAAATAATCCCAATAATTGATCAACTAGACATAAAATATAAATGAAAGGAAATCTCCTTCTGAAATAAAGAATCAATTAATCAATAAAATATTTTTGTAATTCTTTAGAGCTGACTGTATAATATAGTTCTTTCTTAAGATAATTTAAACAGGTTCTTAATATGAAAAGGATCCGATATTTACACAATATCGAGGAAATTGCGCATGGAGGGACAAGAACTCGTTCATAAGCGTCATGCAGATTGCGGACAAACAGGAATTGCGCAATAAATCAGGCCAAAAGAACTCGAGCATTCTGTGAAACAACTTTCGGACTTTCGAGTTACCTTGCAGACCGACACCGGAGTTTCTATGACAGAGATTTCGGGGCTGATCGATATGCTTTTGAAGCGTATGATGATGGTTGTTGTTATTGTGATGATGATAGTGGTGATGACGATGATAGTTATGGTTATTCGGATGATGGTTGTAGTGATTGTTATGATGATTCGGGAGATAATAGTTAGAGGGTGGCTGGCGATTAGAGTGCCTGGCAGCCGGTAGCGGGTGCTGGTGATGGTGCTGGTTGATGTGGTGATTGGCATTGACATTCGCATTGGCGTTAGGGTGAGATCCTGGGAGGAACTGTGGGTACACGTGGTGAGACCACTGTGGAAATAGGGGCCGCCCTTCTCCACCACCATTCCCATCTGCCGAGGAACCACATTTACCACGTTATCGGATCGTGTGCACTATCATCTTTATCTCTTGCGTTATCCATAGCATATTCTTAATACTGCCTTTCACTCTATGCATTCGATTATAAAATAAGATCGTAAAATATCAAGACCAAGCAGTATAATCACGATCGGCGTTTAAAGATTTAAGAAGTTATGCGAATCGTGTCAGCACTTTTATAATAGATATCTTGTAAAAAATTAATAATAATATATCTTTTCAAATGGTAAGCGCTTCTTATATCAGTAAAATTTAAAAATAATCTTAATATAATTTTTTTAAGTATAGGGGAAAGTAGAGTAAAACCGGGTATTTTGGTTTCTCCAAAAAATATTGTTATCCTTGGTAACCAAATTTTTTTTTCAGCAACTAGCCTCATTTTCTCATAGTTTAAGATCCATTAAAGACTACTAACGGTCAGCAAAATTTTTTTTTCACTCTCTGATTTTTTGTAGAAAGACAAATCTAAAAAAATACGGTTTTACCCTACTTTCCCCTACATATGTAATTCTAAATGCCTCTTTAGAAAAGTCCCTTCTGCAAAATATAGCATAAACGTTTAAAATGTTTTAACATATCCAGATAAGTTATAAAGAGGCGTTAAAAAAAATTTCTTATTTTTTATTGTGTTTACTTAAAAATTAAGAGAAAAAAAGCACTTTCAAAGAAATTTTAAGCGTTTGATTAAATCATAGAGTGAAATTCAGTATATAAATTTTGATTATATTAAATATGTATCATCTTATAAGTTTCAAGTAATTATAGATTAATAATATTTTTAATTTGTTCCATAATGTAAATTTTAACGAGAAAGAACTGATATATAATATAGTAATAATAAGAATATCAATACTTATAATATATTATCAATATAATATTTAATAAGTACGGAGTATAACATTCTAAAAGAACTTATTTCTTTCTCATATATACAATATGACACAATTTGTTGGTTTTTTAAACATTTAAATATTAATCGTATAATAGCAGTCATATATAGAGACATCTATTTTTTAAAATTTCCCACATAAAAGAAGTTCCACATCCACGAGAATACAACCACAATAATATAACAATAGTATATTTATAACGTAAAAGAAAGTGCAAACACATTCGGCAAACATCAAAACTCTCACTGTCAGATACATATAAGATATTTATTTCATACAGTGCAATATAACACATGCGTTCTACTTGGTGTCATGTGCTGTTGTTTTAGTTGCAGCTACATTGTTTTGGTGCACAGTGTTCAACAAAATAGCTACATATTTGTACATATAAGCTATTTATACCATTCATCATATTTCATTCATTTATAATATTATTGTAACATAAAATTCTTTAATCAGCTGTAAATTGACTAAAAATTGACATAGTCATTTCTTGATAGTGATGTTAATTGAAATTTCAAAGAAAACAATTCTACATTTTATTTAATTGTAAGTATAGCTATGTTTTTACGAGATACATTTCTCTTTTACGTTTCGTATAGCTGCAGACATATTGTATCGAAAACACTAACGTTCACTTATTGAATTAAATTCATGTATTACCATCGCTAAAAAGAAAGATAAGAGAATATATATCTGACACGTAAGAGTTTTGAGTAAACAAAAAATTCCTTAAAAATATTCAATATTTTTAGGGAAACAATCCTCCCTTCTTTTTGAATAAATAAATAAATGTTCGACGTGCAAATTATAGCATATAAAGTAGTCATATATGAAGATTATTATAAAGATTATTTTGTTTAATCTTTTATAATTTCTTAATTAAATAATAGATATTTATCTATTGTAAGCATAATTAAAAATATCAAGTAATTATTAAATTTAAAATATTTTAAATTATAGTATGAAAGCATATACATGCTATCAACATAAAATTATTATTGCATTACTCTTGTCTCTTTCTCTCTCTCTCTCTCTCTCTCTCACTCATTCACTCACTTCCTCTCTCCCTCTCTCTCTCTTTCTCTATTTTTTTTGTTTTTCTCTCTTTATTAATCTATTATTTTGTTCTATAATTTATAAGTTCTTTGCAGAGTGCATATACTCTCAGTAATAGACCTTGTAATATACTTTGTAGAAACTATGGCTAAAATACTAATTTCGCATATATGTATATATATGGTATCTTGTAATAATAATTTATAAATTATAACATAATATTTAATTCTTCTTCTATTACGCATGTGACATTTTATTAAAAATAAAATTAATTTTAGTGAATATTTTGCGTGATAATATTTATACTGATTATATGTTTTACATTAGTGTCAATAAAATACGAGGATCTCACCTGAAGGACTACCTGGCCTAAGACCGGCACCATTTGTCTGTATCGTTTGTACTGGACTCGGTGGACGCTGGGATATTGGTGGTTCCAATATATCGCGATATTTCGAAACCATTAATACAGAGATGAAGTAAACTATAGCTAGAGACAGAAACTGTGCCTGCTTGGTTTCTTCCTGAAAATTGATATAAGCAATTTAGTTTTCTCTCATCTTATGTATCATTCCTTATTTATATTATTACAATAAAATTTTGTATACTCACAACATCTCTGTATATTACAGCTCTCAAACGATTTACATCCATATCTTGCAACAATTTCTCGGGATCCTTGACGGGGCTTAATTGATGCGAAAGATTATCCACGATGTTCTATAAAAATGAGAAATGTTTTCGTATAATATTTAATAAATTAAAGAATAGAGCTATATAAACAAAACAATTTTTCTTTAGCAAATAGAAATTGGTATTTTAAGTAATAAAAATATAATGTGTTTATTATCTTTATTAACAGTATTATAGTCATTAAAATAATTCGAATCATAGTCATTAAAATAATTTCGAGGTGAAACGTACCTTAGGCGATGTTTGAGCCCCGCGTATGAGCGATTGTATGTGCTGTGATTTATTACTAGAACCAATTTGGCGACCTAACATGCTGTACGATCTGCCACGTTCTTTACACTCTAAGCAGTTTCTAACGGCACATGTACAGACCTATAGAAGCAGTTTATTAGGTATAAATATAATAAGATATGTTGTGTGGATGAACATATTAAATCTTTAACTGGAGTATATTTTGAAGCTAAGAACACAGATTAAAATTATCTCCTACATGATATTTCGAGAACTATTAGCGTTTTCGGATGAACGGGTTAACCCAACCCGGTTCAATTAATCACTATATTTTACTACAAATTCAAACCTTTTATTGGCAGAGCGATGCAATGACGTCATTAATCGCTCTCAGAGCGATTAAACCTGCTACGTCCGAAAACGCTATATGACTACTTAAACGAGTCATTATATTACTACATTCGATATCGCGGATTTATTCATCAACCTTTCGTTTAAATATATCAGATATACAAATGAATAAAATATTAATTTTATTTAAATTATAACTCCCTATCTATAAAATATTATAATTATTTTTATCAAGTTTTATATTGTAATTTATATCGAAAATCCAATTTGAAATTTTTTTATTTGCATGTGATATTGAGTATACAAGCTTTTCATATGATATATTTTGTATTTTTAAAGCGTATCAGATGTGCTGTATAGTTTTAGGTTTCGTGCATGCCACCTATTCTCACTAAAATAAAAATAAATAAAAATATAAACACAAACTATACTATATTGCAATTGCATCTTATTATTCGTGTATCACGCATTAAATCATTTATATATTCAGGTGTTTTTTGTATGTCTCGTATTTTTCATTCAAAAATGCGGCACACATAATACGACATCGCGTAAAGCAAAACTAAAAAAAATTCTTATATCGATTCTATCTATTCTTATATCTATTTCTTTAAGTTTGTAGTTTTCTAAATGTTTAGTAAATTTTTCTTTCTAAATTAAATCTTCTGTATATTATACAGATTCTATAATTTCATCAATGCAGAAATTAAACATAAATATGCACTAAATATTAGTATATCTTCCTAAATAGATCCACACAAATAATTTGTAAAAGTTGTTGATTTATAAACTTTATGATAATAAAATCAAAACTATTTATCTATTCTAAACATTCGTATTATCATCTTGTTCTGAATTCACAAAAAGATACTTTATACACAGTAATACAAACCAGTCGTAAGCATTGTCGCAGTATGCCACCACTTGACATATTTTTCTCAGCTTCCAGTTCTCCAAAGTTTAATGAGCTAGCAAATATAAGTACGTCAGCCATGTTGACTAATCTTTGCAAAAAAGAAACTGCCACCTCGATTGGCATCCCCTGAGTTGGCTCGATTACATCCAATTCGCTCTAGAAATATACAGATATTGATTAAAAACGGATCGTAAAAATTTCTTAATCGCACATACGGTAATAATTTACATACATTCGGCGAGGTAGCCGATGCTAATAAGGGCAACAAACCACCGCAGGCTATTATGAGATTGTCGGCTAATTGCGAAATTAGATGGACAGTATTCACCACGAAAATGGCATTTTCGCTGCTGTTCACGAAATCCAATACAGACTTTGTCGAGTGACTACAATGCAGAGATTAATATAGAATTCCGACAAAGTTAAACATTCGTATGGTATGCAGTATTGTACTTCCTACCTTCTCCACACTTGAATATCCGTTTCCAAGGAGAATAGAACGTCCGACAGTAGCCGTTGATGTATGTAAGACCATTTAAATTCCGGTATTCTGAATGGAGGTCGCGTCGGACCTGGACTGAACATTGGTCGTGTGGAAGGATTTCCTTGCTTCGACCTTTTGGCTTCTACAATGCAAAAGAATACGACAAAATAAAAAATAGATGCATTTATGCTAAATTGTAATAAATAATCTATATTAATAAAATAAGTTTCAATTTTGTAACGCACCGAAATGATTAGGATCCACCTGCGTGGACGTTGAGGCACTCCTTGGTCGTTTCTGAGGCGACGATGTCTTTCGTAAGGGCACAGGCAAGGAGGGTGGCTCGTGACCATTATCGTCCGCGACCGTTTCCGAGGATACGATCGGCAGGCTGGATCTGCGATGGGCGTCTACGTGATCTGGAGGTAAGTCATTCAATAACGCATTGTCTCTGGCAACCACATTAGAACTAACGATTTGAGGCACACCGTCGGATAAACTTTTAGTTGCATCACAGACCGTAGATATTGTTGGGATTTGCTGCTTAGGATTTGGCACTTGCGTCACATTATCTACAGAACTTTGAACATCGCTATTACTAGAAACACTATCTGTTACTTCTACCTCGCCGGTCGTCGCCGGAACGTCTGACTTATTATCACTTACGCTAGTAGAAATAGTGGACGGCTCCCTTGAGTGTTCCTCATTTACCTTCGCGTCTTCGCTATCATTAATAACAGCACTTTTGTCCTCCGTTAAAGAATCCACGGCGCGTTCGTCACTACTTAACGCACTATTCACTACTACTGCTTCCACCTTCTCGTTTTCTAGATCTATTGCCTTCTCCGCGCAAGTCTCGCCGCTTTCTACTACGCTAGTTGAGCAATTAGGATTTTTTACGGTTTCCCCTTCGTCGCTCTCAACAGTCTCAGTGGTAATGTCCCTGTCTTCGGAAATATCCTTCTTTTCGACGGTGTCGTCGTCAATTTTCTCACTTTCAGACGTTCTGCTTTTCATCTCGCTCGAGATTTCTTGATTTTCGGTTGGCGTTAAGTATGTTTCTGATGTATCGCTATCAATTATTTCACGATCATTCTCTAGTTGAAGTTTTTCAATAACTTTAACTGTCAATACTTCTCGCGTTTCGTCAGAAGGGACAATTGGCACAGTATTTTCCTCAGTGTCGACGTCAGTCTTTAAAGCAACAGAGTTTTCATCTGCGTTTTCGATTGCCGTCGTAGTTTTGTCGGAATCTTCAGTGTTAGTCGGTGTATTACTGTCATCGGTCACAACGTTATTTTCCTCGATAGGTTTATCGTTTGCTTCCTTGTCCGTCACCGGGTTATTTTCGACTTCATCCACTATTGTAGAAACTGTATCTGAGACATTAATAACTTCTGCAGTTTCCGTTGTATCATTCGATTCAACAGCTGTCACTTCTGTGTTCTCCTTGACCTGTTCAGTTGAAGAGGATTCGGTAACAGCAACTGGTTGTTTTTCCAAAGTTGCATCTTCTTCTTTTTTCGGTGTGTCCGCGACGATCATCGAATCGGGACTGGAACTCTCAATTTTGTGCACTTCACTGTAGAAGTCACTAGAACTCTCAATCGATATCACCTCGCTGGTCTCCTGCGTGGTCGGCAGCGAGACAGCTTCGCTATTCGCTTCCTCGAGGATGGTCGGTGTCTCTGTGTGAGCCTCGCGCGCGGTGGTCGGTGTTTCCGGTTTGTCGCTTAATCTGGAATCCAATGACACTACCTCGCACGATTGTAGAGTATCCAGAGTCTCACTGCGCGATTTCACGATGGCTGGACTACCGTCACTTTCAGTGTTGTCTATTGAATTGAGGTCGCAACTACAAGATTCTTCCAATCGATCGTTTGCTTCGGATGCATCGAACTCCTGTATCGTAATACAAGATATAAGAATCAATTAATATGTCAATGATCTTTCTGCATACATAGACCTTATAATAAGAAAAAACATTTAGATAATGCGACTATACATGAGAAAAATTTTAAAGATCAAAAAAATGGCTGTCAAAATTTAATGAAAGTTCTACTATTTTTGAAATTACCTTGTAATTCCTTTCCATGTGTTGTACTTCATGATTTTGCTGATTTCCCCACACCGCTGGTCTGTTGTAGCCGTTGTTTCCGGAATGCTGTTGATCCCATCCAGAAATCGTGCTAATCGGTCTCTGCTGTCTTAGCTCAGGATCTGTAATATTGTCGGATCTCTGTCGCTCGTAATGCTCGTACATTTGAGCAAATTGAAGTTTGAATTCCTCGTAGGATACCTGCACAAAACCGACATTGTAGGAAAACATTAAAATGTTTCAAGTTAACCATATCTCGCAAACTTACCTTGGAATGCACGATAGCCAGCGTATCAACCCATACACGCCAGCCACCATATTCGTGCTTGATAGCGTGATGAAGAAGCATGCGAAATAAGGAATACACCATGTCGGATATTTTCTGCTCTTCTGTATTTTTGGGATGGATATAAGCCATAGCGATAAGCCATTCCTGCCATACAGACATTTGCAAAACCGTTCGCCGATTTTCTCGATTATTGTTGCAGAGCAGTGTCATATCCGAGAGGAATAATTTTTTCACTTCTAACAACTGTTCTGTTTGCTTTGATTGTCGAACCAATGTCGCGACCACCTTCAGGATCACTAAAACATAAAAAAAGAAAAGTTTTTAACAGATATTAATACAGAGACAATATTTTATTTGCTTACATAATTATAAATCAATTACTTACTCGGATTTTCTAAACGATAGTGGGATTCAGGTTCAGGATGTCTAGCATACAATATTTGTTGACTGATGTGCTCGGTCATAATCTGATATTAAAATTCAAATTAAAATTTTCATATATGTATAAATGCTGAAAAAGTGTTTAACATAGTTAATGAAACGTAAAATATGTAATTACCTCATATAAAACGTTATACGTCGGCAATGAGAGTGTTTCCTCGTTCAATAAGAGCCTTTCAGCCAATAACGTATACAGATTATGTGGACTCATAACATCGTATTTCCTTCTATGTACATTATAGAAATATTAAATTTCTTAAAAATATTTTATTCTAAAATGCAAATAATCTATAAAAGATTGTTTACTTGTGTGTACTGCGGCTAAGAAAGAATCCTAGCAGTTTTAACGCTTGCAAACGTATCAACTGGCTTTCAGCTGCTAAGAGTTTGAAAATGGTTCGTACACCTTGTTTCGCGTCGAATGCGGGTACCATCGATGATGGATGTTCCGACATCAAAGATATGAGCATTTGTAAAACGTCGTGCAAATTTTCATCCTACAATTCGTCACGGAATTTGAGAAATATTTTTTTCATATTATTATTATGCATGATTACATCAATCTTTAAAATTACCTCGTGCATTGTTGTCAGATAATTAAGGATGCTCTGTAATTCGTCGTCTTTTACTCCGTTACCAATCATTATCAATTGTTTCAAAAATAATAAGATATAAGAACGAATTGCAAGAATGTCTTTTTGTTGCGGACGCGGTCCATCTATGAAAAATTTATTAATGTAAATGTTATCATACTCTATGCACTAAGAATAAAATTAGCATCGCTGATATTATTTAATTAAATATAATAACATACCAAGTCCTTTTGGTGTTATTCCGCTTTTAGCTCGAGGATTAGCTACCCAGTAATAATATTTCAGTGTGTGTACCGTTTGCAAAACTGTCGACACACGTCTCACATTGGAATATATTTGCGTGTCGCTAAGAAACTCCGTGGCCAGGTACGAGTAAAGTCGTGTTTGTACTGGCGCTGGCGTATATATCCACAGAGCAGGATTAAAAAGAACGTGATCCAGTAGCTGCCATGTTAGGAATGAAAAATAAAACAACTACATCACCATGGATCTGCCTGTCCTTCGGACACACCAATCTAGCCGACTTTTGTATTATCCATGTATTTTATGCTATTATCTTGATATTTTAATCTATGTAATTAGCGTGATTAAGTTGCTCAAGGTATTGATCCAAATAATAAATAAAATGTTACTTTAGATCTGCATGTATATTTTTGCATAGAATTTTTTATCATATTTGGTTTTAAAGGATTGATTTTAGCTTTGACAATTTGTGCAAATATGTATATAAATATGATATCAGGAATATATTTGAGCATTGTATAGATTTTATTTATAACTGTATGAAGAAATAATAGACATGAATTATTAAGCTTACGATTGAAAGCGATATGCAGATGGTATTTTTGTTACAGAACAATTATGACAAAAAAATATGAGATGGATGTAGAACGTCACGACTGTAGATAGATATTCGTGCATATATATACTGATTAGAAGAAATTTTGAGGATTAATATTAAAAAACATAAATTTATGGCTGTACATATTTAGACTTGTATACATTTTGGAAGTTGTTGGGTAATATCAAATTCACGTAATTAATAACGTAATTATATATATATATATCGTATTATAGAAAAAGTACATCGAAGAAACGCATACATTTTATAATAAATGTATATTAAACTGCAAACAAATTAAATATGTATCAAACATGTGGTTTGGTATTTGAAGAATAAAATTAATTTTGACTGGAAAACACATATGGCAATCAAAAATAATATGCCGTGTAATAGGATTTTGATAATAGTGCATATTTGAAGAAAGATAGAAAGAATATGTATAATCAATTTTATTATAGCACAAGGGATAGACGAAAAATCTTAACGTCGCAACATAAGAATTATAAATTTTGAAGTAAAAGCGACATATTATAAACAAAATAGTTTGCGTAGCCACTTTTTCAAATCAGAAAGCTTAAAAGTCGGTTGATTGCATGCGATCCGAAGTTTGATTAATAAATATAATAACGGTCGAAGAAAGTGAGTGGGCATGCTCAACAGGCTTGTTGACAAATTCTTGACAAAGTATCAAGAGTACAAAACAAAATGCATACACATATATTATTACGGATGTATAGGATGTCTGCAACATTTCAACAGGAGCAAGTGTGATGAAAGCGTGGAAGCTATTACATGATATTACAGCATACACAAAACAACGTAAATTTATAGAATAGAATGCATTGGTATTAATTTATATCTATTAACCAAATTGAGTGTAACTCATGCTTTTGTTTAAATCAAATATACATATATAAGGCAAACGAAAATTATATATAAATAAAAAAATATAGCTAACTATGCATGGATAAAGAATTGTTTTAGATTACGCAGAAACTAAATGAACAAATAATGATATATTATGGGGTATTTAATATTTTCTATAATGTTACTATTCAAATAAATTCAAATAATTCAAATAAAGTGACTGTTAGAATACGACTAAATAACACAATATTTTATAATCTTCACAATAATTAATATATCCTTTCTCTACCAATAATTTTTTATCTGATTTTCTAATCTATATAGAAAATGTTTTTTATAATCTAATTTTTATATAATATATGTCGTAATTTCACATTTCTCTTCAATCTTTCTAAATCTATATGTAACTATCTTATATTACCTCCAGCTAAAATAATTGCAAGAAAATTTATCAAAATTATATATTTTAGAAATTTAAGATATCTTTATATTTTCGAATTAAGATAAGATTATTTTAATTATTTTCGAATTTTAAGAGAAAAGATAAAATATCATAATCTTATAACTATAGCTGTACTATAGCTGTAACTATTATTATATCTATATTTGTCGAAATATTTACATTAATACATCTAACAGAGTAATAGCAGATAATTATTTATTAATTAATATATCGGTACCTGTTTCAATAATAGATCGCTGTTTGCGCTGAGACAGGTCACTAAATGTTTCGTGAGCTCCAAGAAGGATGCAAGGACTTCCGTCGTAAGATGATCTCGACTCGATTTCTGCAGCATGAAACTTATTACTAGAAATCCCCTGTTTTGTACCATGTGTTGTTGAACTGTTTGAGAGCTCTCTACCAAGTCGCAAATAAAGCCGAGCAGTTTCGAACTGAAAAAGACGTCGACATTTCTTGTTAATGCCTTCTGTTAAAACATGCATGACTTTCCGAAGCTACAACGATTAATATTACTTACCATAACGTGGGATCGCGCTTAACGTCATTCGGTGCTATGCAGTCATAAGGCATATCCAGTTGAGAGAATAATGGGAACAATACTTGAATACCTCCTATTGAGTTTAACGTGCTGTGAATCGAGTATGTTATAACTGCCTTGACATCCTGAAAGCCAAAATAATAATTTCTTGTCTATCTTTATATATGTTGTTTACACACATAAAATAAAGCAGTATCAATTACTAAATAAATAAAAGACGCATGTAACTCTATATGATCCGGACGCTAAATTTGTTTTTATTCTCGAAATCGTAAATAACAATAATAAATTATACCTGTAACATGAGAGCATGTGGTGTATGTACAAAATACGAGACGTTGCCTTTCGGTGCACTCTGTAGACAAAGCTGCGAGTCTGTTGCTACTGGATTGTACATGAACACAATTGCATTCGACAGTTTTCCATCATAAAGTACCTGAAATAATACGTAAAAATCAAAAATTAACGTAATTATAAATTTTTCTAAAAAAATTTTCAAGATATATTAAATTATTGCAAATCTTTTACAAAATATAACATCAATAAACTACATCAATTCAATCTTACCAGCACATATAAACACATCTTGAATTTCTCTAACTAGATGATAAAAGATACACAGAAGACACATACATATCTTGCTTAAAACTAATAGTCGATAATTTAATTGCTAATTATATTGCTACTTGCTACCATTTAAAGTATCCATAAAATCTCAGGTATAAGAAAATTTATACGGCATGTTATATATAAAGTCAAAGCGATGCTTACAACAAAAAAATAGGTTTATTCTTGCAAAAAATGGCATTCGCTAATTAGAAAAGATAAGCATTTGGCAAAAAAAAAAAAAATAAATATATACACAAATATATACATTAATAATATACCAGGCAATAATATAATGTTCATAATTATAATACCGATTTTCCAAGACAAATAAATATAAAACAAAAAAATAAACTCAGCCGTAATAGCCGACAAGGAAATGTGGTCATAAGTGAGTAATTACCTCAGGTAAACTCGAACGCAGTAACAGAATAATTAACGAAGTACAACTCATATGTTAAGAAAAATAAAATCAAAATGCTTACAATTTGCATACTTTGGTCCACCATGCTCGTAGAGAGATCCTGCTCACTCACCCTTTTATGATTGTCGGGCAGATTCAGGTAGCACTCGTTGTCGAAACGAAACTGGCTCTGTGCACGGATTGCAAAAACGGCGATAAATATTCGTCAATTGAAATTCGCTAATTAGAAAAAATAAACATTTGGAAAAAAAAAAAAAAAAATAAATATATACACAAATATATACATTAATAATATACCAGGCAATAATATAATGTTCATAATTATAATACCGATTTTCCAAGACAAATAAATATAAAACAAAAAAATAAACTCAGCCGTAATAGCCGACAAGGAAATGTGGTCATAAGTGAGTAATTACCTCAGGTAAACTCGAACGCAGTAACAGAATAATTAACGAAGTACAACTCATATGTTAAGAAAAATAAAATCAAAATGCTTACAATTTGCATACTTTGGTCCACCATGCTCGTAGAGAGATCCTGCTCACTCACCCTTTTATGATTGTCGGGCAGATTCAGGTAGCACTCGTTGTCGAAACGAAACTGGCTCTGTGCACGGATTGCAAAAACGGCGATAAATATTCGTCAATTGAAGATTATACAATATGTCTGGCGTCCTAGATATATTCATCATAGCAATAATGTATAAATATATCTAGCTACCTTATATCCCGGTCCTAATCTGTGCATCGCGCATATCTGATGCGTTGTCAGTGCTTCGCTGAATAAGTATATTGCACTCATTTGTCCGCAAAACACGCGCTCCTCGTCCAGTTCGGGAGTTGCTCCGATGTAGCACTTATCGAAAGGCTGTAAAACAACATTTTTCTTCTTTTCAAATCGGTAAAAGGAAAGTACCGCTTGGGAAGATCGTAAATATTTGCAGGCACTCACATCATTTGTCGAAACATGCCATGTCATTTCTGTACTCGACGCCAACTGACCATTGACCAGACATTTAATTTCACTCTTCGTCCACCTATTGTATATATACACTACCGCGATCATATACCACTGAAAGACAAAAAAATTTTAAGGATAGAAAAATTTTTTCTGCGTGTTAAACGTGCTAGGTATATATTGTGTTAGAAAGCATGTTTAATAATATTATTAATTCACCTTTCGTGGTTGAAATTCGTATTTGACACAATGTTGGAAGCCCTTGCCTTTTATTTTCATAGACGTCAGGACTAAGCAGTTGCCTACAAAATGTGCAGAGTATCCTACTCCTTTGCTTGTTTTAAAACTAAAATATAATAAAAGAGCATTATATTACTGTCTGCCTGATAAAGATTATTGCACTTGAACTTTCTCTCATTTCTCTTGTATTTTTTCTTTTGATATAAAAAAAAAACACAATTTATGTAAAAAGATAATAAAAATTATGTATATATAACATGGATGAACTATTGCTAAGCGAATATAAAATTGAAATAAGATGTAAAGTAATTTGAAAAATGTCAACATTGTTTTCTTTGAAATTGTATGCAAACAAAATCACACTTAATGGATTTAGTTTGAATCTCTTCTTTCTTTAAAGTCGAGAAACATAGGTGATTTTTTCACCTATAAAGAGAGTACGCAAGGGTGCTTGATATAAGAGCACTTACCAGTAGAGGTACGGTTTTTCTCGTTCGATATTAACAGAGTTGATGGGGTCTAGGCGGAACCATGTGGTGAAAGTAAATCCATTCTCGTGTGGCCACTTTGCAAGCGGCGGCAAGACAATCGCCTGCGGAAAACGTGAAACGATTCTCATCAGATTATAAAATATATATATTTTTGGCAGAATATTGAAAGAAATTAAATAAATATCGGAGTTTCAATGGTTTCCAATTTTCGATGGTTATTTAATTATACGCTATGCCGTTTCTGATTTGCAATACATTTCATATAGAAATAATAAAAATAATATGTCAATATAAATATATTAAAAGTTACGCTATAGGTATACAGAAAATATATTTAACTTTAGTTTTAATTTCTAATTCTATTCTTTAATTTCTAAATATTAATTACAAATATTATTATACATCCTTCTTCTATTATAATAAATTATAATCTATAATAAATCTATTCTCTCTTATTTAAATCGAAAAACATTCGGGGATATTATGTATCATAAAACATTATACAACAAGCTTGTATTATTTGATGGTATATACGGTAATGATGTTCAGGAAAGTTCCTTGCCATGATTGATTTCGAAAATGTAAGCTGGTAGCGGAATCTTGTGGGGAAGGGTAAATTCTCTTATCGGAACTTTGATCGAGTTTAAAATCGAACGACGTCCTTTGGGATGTCGTAAAGTAAGAAGTATCTGTTCTAAAGTAAAGAGAAAAAAAGAGAGACAGGCGAACAAGAAAAGAAACCAACTTACCGACCCCTTTCTACCAGGGAAACTGAAAAATACATCGGGCCCATTTCGCTGTGGCATTTGACGGAGGACGTTCAATAATTTCGCCGAATGCCGCGGCTACGAAATATATAAATGTTGTTTTACGTTACGGTAATCTTATTGTATCTGATAATATACTCAATATATTCTTATGATAATATTTATTTAAATTTTTATTATACAATTTGCAAAGAAAATCTTAAAAGTTCTTACCCATTTTCCTTTAACAGCTTTCATAGCGCCGAACAAAAGTTTTAATTCTTTCACCGTTATACTGTAGCTTGCTAGCACTCCCAGCATATCGATTAATAAATCTGTCGTAATATATAAAAATATATAAAAAAATATAATTTTTGCATTATTAAAGAATATACTTATTGTTAAATAAAAGAAGCAAAATTTTCTCTCATAGTGATATGTAATTAGTATCGTAAATAGAATATAGAAATCCGTTAAAATAGCTTTGTCATGCTTTGAGAAATTAAATTACTTTTGCTGCTTATCAGCGATAATATGATGCCAAACTTAATATTGAATATATACTTACCGGCGACAACAGTTTCCGCACGAGATAATCGATGTAGAACATGTTCTATGAGACTTACATCCGTACACGCTTGTAAGTTTCTGACACTTTTTCTCAGGATCGCGATAAAGACGCTCCATATTTCGGCCTGTAACAAAAATATCATATATATAAAATTATTTATTTACATTTATGACATCTGATAGTTGATAACACACATACATAATATTATATCTATATAATTTTTATTTTACGGTCTCCATATGTTATAATTGTTCCAATAATAGAAAAAGTATGATATATAAAACTTTTTAGATCGTTGTACGTTTTTATATTATTAATATAATATAAAGATAAAGATTTTGAAATCATATATCCTATTATATAAAAATGAGTTAAAATTTTTTTAAAATTATTGGTGATCAGAGGATGTATAATGTATGTTTCGTCCGCGAATAACCTAGGCAATTAATAATTTGGCTCAAATAGAGGGAATTTCATTGTGCATAATTGCGTTATCATCGTAAATCGCCTGCTAAAATCATGGTCAGATAATAGCAGAATATTAATTAAAAGGATATTGCGTGCTTATTATTATTCGCCTGTTTATATATAAAAATGTGCTTTTATTCAAAACGTTAATCAATTGTTAGCATTAATTTCTAATTTTTATCTTATTAAAAATTGCATTACTCATAAGACTCATATATAATAAGTTACTTATGTGTATTTCGCGCGCACCTGCATAAGGGATTATTTTATTTATAAAAAATTAATTTAACAATATTTTTTAATTTATGCTATTTAAAAAATAAATAATATTTAATGTAAAAAATTAATTTATAAGAAAAATAACTTTTGCTTTATTCGATATATGTAGTAATCATTGAAAAAGATTTTACAGCAGCACTCTTTTAATTATTTATAATAATTATAAAATTCTATTCTCTCAGATACTCATTTAATGTATCAACATAAATTGTAATTTATTTCATTTGAATTTATATAAAAATACTTTGTATCACTTTAATATCGTCCATTCGATCAGATTCAATTAATCGAATTGTCTAAATAGGTAGAAATCGAGTTATGTCTCTGTTATATATAGATAATGGTTTGTCAATTATATCCAAGCAAAAATTACTTAAAGGGGTTCTCCAAGCCAAGTAAAGTGGTAGTGGTTTTACGCCCGAAGCGAATAAAGGATGGCTTAATAAAACCACATACTCATCCCGTTAAGAAAAAGTTAATGTTCTAAAGAGATTTTTTTATAAGCAATTGCGAATAATTCATTTCGATATTCCAAATAAAACAAGACAAGATTCTTTCACGGAAAGTGTTATTTAATACGGTCAAATAACCGATTCTCCTTTATATATATACATATATAGGTATAATGCTGAAGAACGATACAAGTCTACAAAGCAACAGATTATTAGTAAAGCTAACCGGCAACTATTTCAATATACAGACGATATACATATCCGGCGTGTTTATATAGCGTGAATTCACTTCCAATGATTTTGCACAACAGTTTATCTTCAAATTATTATACTTCTCCGGATAGCCGGACAACCGCACACTACCGACGCCAAGCCCAGTTCGTGTACCCGCGTAATCCTCTGCTGATATGCAAGGTAGGCCACGAAGCGAGATAACTACGGGTGCGGGGTAACCGCCGAATAGCGGAGAAATCCCGAAAATGCCGCTGGAATTTCCCCAGTCGGAATTTCGGCCCCGCGAGCCGGAGTTTTAGCGAGGAGAAGTTATGGGCATTCGGATAATTCCGGAGTAATGATCTCGCGGCTATACACCTTGTCGGCTTACTACATCGGAGTTGCGAATGAATCCGCCGGAGCGCGGGCAAAAAAAGCAACAGAAAGAAGGAGAAAGGAAGGGAGTGTGAGAGAGTCGTCCTGAGTAATGTCGTGGAAGCTTCCAACTGTCGCTCGACTGTGATAAATTGCTCTGAATCGCGAGAGCAGTGGTTAGTCAAGTTGATCTTCGGAGCTGGGTAGGTAGGTAGGTATCTCCCCTTCGCGCTAAAGGATGCTGCTTATCTGTCCTCTTAGATGTTGCATTGCGAGACAATGGCGAGACAACATTTTCTTACTATAATATTTTAATGTCGGCTTTACAGCGCTATTTTACGAGGACGCATCCGAGGAAAGTACATTTTCGCGCTGACAACTTACGAGTCGCGTACTATTTCAATGTGTATTTTTATATTCGACAAAGTTTAAAATTGAGATCAATAGAAATACATAATAATAATAATAACTTCTCGATGAGTCTCAAAATAACAGAACAAAATAACATGCTCGATGTATTTAATGAATCGACATTGTTGCAGCGAACCGGTGAATATCTGACCGGCGAATCAACAACAACTGTCATTCCGCTGTACGTGAATATTATTGTTATTATTTCGTGGTGCATGTATACGTCGACTATTTCGTATGTAACGGATGCGAGCATCATATTCGTAGGGAATTGTGGATGCAATGCATTAATACACCGACACATAAGCTAGCCATTTTGACGAATCACCGGCGCAGTGTTAAATAAATGCGCCTTCTCGCTTGTCATTTTTTATGCAGGTGTTGATTGGTCAGATTTGGTTCTCTCCCCAGTCGGAATTTCGGCCCCGCGAGCCGGAGTTTTAGCGAGGAGAAGTTATGGGCATTCGGATAATTCCGGAGTAATGATCTCGCGGCTATACACCTTGTCGGCTTACTACATCGGAGTTGCGAATGAATCCGCCGGAGCGCGGGCAAAAAAAGCAATAGAAAGAAGGAGAAAGGAAGGGAGTGTGAGAGAGTCGTCCTGAGTAATGTCGTGGAAGCTTCCAACTGTCGCTCGACTGTGATAAATTGCTCTGAATCGCGAGAGCAGTGGTTAGTCAAGTTGATCTTCGGAGCTGGGTAGGTAGGTAGGTATCTCCCCTTCGCGCTAAAGGATGCTGCTTATCTGTCCTCTTAGATGTTGCATTGCGAGACAATGGCGAGACAACATTTTCTTACTATAATATTTTAATGTCGGCTTTACAGCGCTATTTTACGAGGACGCATCCGAGGAAAGTACATTTTCGCGCTGACAACTTACGAGTCGCGTACTATTTCAATGTGTATTTTTATATTCGACAAAGTTTAAAATTGAGATCAATAGAAATACATAATAATAATAATAACTTCTCGATGAGTCTCAAAATAACAGAACAAAATAACATGCTCGATGTATTTAATGAATCGACATTGTTGCAGCGAACCGGTGAATATCTGACCGGCGAATCAACAACAACTGTCATTCCGCTGTACGTGAATATTATTGTTATTATTTCGTGGTGCATGTATACGTCGACTATTTCGTATGTAACGGATGCGAGCATCATATTCGTAGGGAATTGTGGATGCAATGCATTAATACACCGACACATAAGCAAGCCATTTTGACGAATCACCGGCGCAGTGTTAAATAAATGCGCCTTCTCGCTTGTCATTTTTTATGCAGGTGTTGATTGGTCAGATTTGGTTCTCTCTCTCTCTCTCTTTTTCTCTTGACTAAAGTAATAAAATGATAAATGACTAGCCGTGCGAACTGATACACTCGATTTGTCCGGCTATATGCTAGGAAAAGTCTGTCGGGCGCTAAAATGTGATGGATGTGAAAAAAGAAAACATTTAATTCACGTTGCGTGACGTTAATGGTAGATAACGACATATCTAAAAAACGATGAGCTATGTGTCTGTGTGTGTTACTAGCAAAAGATAAATAAAATTTGAAACTTGTAAACTAGTCCGTGTTAATATGCACAAATTGATTGCTAGAGATAACTCGAAATTAAAAATAAATTTAATTTGCGTAGCATTTTGTAATCTATGTATCCCACATTGTTTTTATATATGGCTACCATGCTTTTTTATATTACACATTTGTTTTTAACCATTTAATAACATATTCACATATTTTTTTGAAAAAACCCCAGTCTGAATAAATGGCAATAACGGCAAATAATATTTTAATTTGAGCAGCACGTCATCTCGATAGCAAACGCCATGTAATAAATCCAATGTTGAAATTGTTCCCATGTATTCGCTGAGTGAAATATAAATATGTTTTGATGTAGGAATGCCAAAAATTTAATTACTTAACCAATTCTGTTTTTTGCAACAGTAAAAAAACAGATAGCTCCTACGATATTGATTATTCATCAACTATATTCGTAATTGCAATGTGATTATTGTGATTTTTCAGATTATATATTTTAATATAATTAATTCTTTAAAATATTGCAAAGTTAGAAATAATACAAATTAACATAACTACTTCTGGAAATAGAAAACTTAAAATACATGTTGCTTTAGTACTAATTACTTGCTAGGTTTAAATCCATTGAACTTTCCCATTTAACTTTGCATATGTATGAAACTCCATTAAATGCAAGATAGAATATTTCAGATTTTATTATAAAAAATATTATTATTATATATTAGATATATCACATATTGAATAGAAAATAATGTAATTAAGCATAATTAAATTTAAGACACAATTATTACAAAATATATTTATGATAACAATTAGAAAGCTAAAATTTCATATTCAAATCTCATCGAATAATTATTTATTATTTTGAAAATATTTAAATGATATTATTATATAAAATAGCATTATTATATTTTGCACTTTTAAAAAGAATTGCTATTCTATAACTTATAGTGTTTTTGTCAGTTAATCCTGTCCACGTGAGAGATAAATTTTTGAAAAACATAAATAGTGCCAAATTTTTAGAAAACAAAGCCGTTTCGTCACATAGTTCATCCTTTATAAAAAGAACGTTAATGGACGTAAACTACATCTTTTACGGTCTACCGAAAGGATTTTAATGGCTGACTATGCGCACGACTAAACTACTGACGCACAAAATCGACGCGTATATGGCACGAATAGTATGTTTAATTTATCACAAGCTAAATTGCGTCGGCAAAGAAATAATATACCTTTTTATAGTAAAACAGAAATTTTAAAGTTATTTAATTTCTAAAATAAATACTTAAAATTTTTTACGTCAAGTATCTTTATAATTAATCAAATTTTCCTTTACATATATATATATATATATATATTATATTACAAAAAGTTCAATGA